AACCCAGAGTCTCAAGAGATGCTGGAGGAACAACTGGTGAGGATGTTAACTCGAGAAGTCATGGACCTAATCAGTAAGTGGCATGTGGGAACCAGGGGTAGTAGAGACGAATTTTTTAGGAGAAAAAATTGGTCACCCACCCAGCCGCAATAAGGCATGTTTGCAGCAATACTGACCTTTTGATGAGAAGTAATTAGGTAGAAACAAGGTAGTCCTTAAATCAACCTATGGACATTTTATGAATGGCAAACAGTTGTATTTGTTCATACTAAGGCCAAAATATGAGGAAATAGTCTAAAATAGCAGGAGGAATTTGGATTAATGGTAGGAATAACTTCCTAGCCTTGTCAAAATAGGGGGGAAATTTTAATTCTTGGACATGAAGGTGATTAATTTTCTTTCTCTTTTTGGTCATTTGTTGGAGATACAGAGTAGACCAAAGATTTATTAGATATCCTCTCCTGGTCACTTAGTCTCAGAGGATTCTGTAATTTCCCTCCAGTTAATTGAACTTGAAGAGGGATCAGAACACAGTCTGGTCAAATGCGTCTATTTCTGTTGGTGAAGCTGATGTTGTTCCTGGACAGTACCCCACTTTCCCCTCTCCTCACTTGCCCAGAGACAGTTTGGGATCTGTTGGCCTGAGGCAGCTGTTGTCTGGTGGTAGTAAAACCCAGTAACCCTGCCTTCTTGCTTTAGCGGTGTGCTGTGTTTCAAAGAAAGGTGCTGACCACAGTACTGCTCCCCCTGCGGATGGAGATGGTGAGTCTCTTGTGTGGCCCTCAGAGGTCTGTCCTTAGGCTCCTAAATATCGTCCCTTCTGTAGCCACGTCAGTCCCTGTAGAAACTGTTTCCCGAGCACTCTGATGTGGACGGGGTGTTGTGCATCTAGCTCTTGTCTCTGCTGGCCCTCCTGCTGTATTTCTCCACTGTACTCCCACCTCAGAGCCTTTGCACTGGCTGTTTCCTCTAGAATTTTTCCTCCCAACTATATAATTGGCCTGTTCCCTTGCTTCATTTGGGTCTCTGCTCAGATGTCACCTCTGATAGGTCTTCCATACCAGCTTATCAAAAATAGCAACCCAACCACGCTATATTCTGCTCTGCTCTGTTTTTCTTCAGGGCACTTATTTTTACCTGATGTTATGTGGTTTTTTGTTTGTTTATTTGATGACATTGTTTTATTTATGTATTCATTTATTACTTGTCACCCTCACTAGAATGTCGACTCTCATCAGAAAGAGACTTTGTCCTATTCCTGTGATATCCCCAGTAACTAAATTAGTGTCTACAGTGGGTCCTCATATATTTGTTCAATGACGAAAGACCCTCACTATTTGCAGCTTTTTAAGTAACTGTCCAGAAAACCTCATTTCCAAGTTTCCCAAATGTAGAGCTAGGTGCATCTCTAGATCTGCCGTGGACAGCAGCTTCTCTACCCTTTCATGAGGCCTGGGGGCCATCCAGTGCTACTCAACCACCAGTCAGCCCAGGATACTCAACTCTCCTTTACTCTGTGGGCTCCTGTCAGGACAGGATAGACTTCTGTGTTCTGAAAGGCTGGAGTTTAACATTCTGCTCTCTGCTACAGATGAAGAGATGATGGCCACAGAGGTGACCCCCTCAGCCATGGCGGAGCTCACAGACCTGGGCAAGTGCCTAATGAAGCACGAGGTGGGTGCAGGGTGTGGGTGGTGTTTGTCTCTTTTCCCGCCATGGAGCCAGCTTCCACTCTTCTCTGATGCCTTCAGAAAAGTGGGGGGTACTACTCCTTTATGCAAGTTAAGTTCCTTATTCCTAAAACCCCAGAAAACAGTGTGGAAAGCTCAAGGCCGTGGTGTCTCCCCTATTGTGGGCAAAGGCTCTCAGAAAAACTCAGGCACATTGATGCCAGTCTCTCATGTTCAGCCTCCCAGGCCCGAGCTCTGTCTCCTTCCTGCACATAGGTTTCCTCTATATTGGTGTTTTTTTCTTCTTTTTGACCACCTGATTCACACAGAGTAAATAAGCTCGCTTCTCTCTCATCATTTTCCTGCATACCTACTATTAAAACCCCAGCCCCTAATGTAGAAGAATACTCGGAGAAAGTGCTTACCTTCCCATTGTAACTCTTCATGCTTTTCTGTTAGGACGTTTGTACGGCACTGTTAATTACAGCCTTCAATTCCCTGGCCTGGAAGGATACGCTGTCCTGCCAGAGGACAACTACACAGCTCTGCTGGCCTCTCCTCAAACAAGTATGGTTATTTGCCCCTTCTTGAAAGTTTGGGTCATAAGGATTGACTGAATCGTTTGGAAGAATTGGGGTGCTGGGGGCCTTCAGAGTCTCACTTTGGCCCTGAGCACAGCTGTCTCCCCAGGTGCTGTCAGGGACACTGCTCTCAGATGCTGTGACGTGGCTTTTCAGCAGCGTGCTGAAGGGCTTGCAGACGCACGGGCAGCATGACGGCTGCATGGCTTCCCTGGTGCACCTGGCTTTCCAGATCTACGAGGCGCTGGTGAGTGGGAGAGGGCGGCTGCGGCCTCACCCTTCACAGCCACTCCCACTCAGCTGGGCCTTATGCCAAGTTGCTAGTGCTGCTGACAAGTGGGTGTGGCAGGGAATGGGGAAAGTGGCAGAGCCCAAACCTACTCCATTGAGTGGGTTTACCCTCACTTCTCAGCGTCCCAGGTACCTGGAGATAAGAGCTGTTATGGAGCAGATCCCTGAAATACAGAAAGACTCTCTGGACCAGTTTGACTGCAAGCTTTTGAACCCCTCTCTGCAGAAAGCTGCTGACAAGCGCCGAAAGGACCAATTCAAACGCCTCATTGCTGGTTGCATTGGGGTAAGTCATGCTCCTTCCTCTGTGCTCCCAACCACTTCATGGTCTTCTTAGACTGTGTGTTCAGGCAAACCAGAACCCAGCTGTAGTCATTGGCCATTATGGTGAGATGATCTTTTAAACAACCTACTATCACCTGGCCAGTGTGGCTCAGCAGTTGAGCATCGACCTGTGATTCAGGAGATCGCAGTTCAATTCCCAGTCAGGGCACATACCCAGGTTGCGGGCTCCATCCCCAGTGGGGGGCATGCAGGAGGCAGCCATCAATGACTCTCTCATCATTGATGTTTCTCTCTCTCCCTCTCCCTTCCTCTCTCTGAAATCAATAAAGACATACATACATACATACATACATAAAACAGAACAACTTACTCTCAGGGTCCAGCATTAGTTCTTTCTCACTTGTTTTCCACAGAAACCCTTGGGAGAGCAGTTCCGGAAAGAAGTTCATATTAAGAATCTTCCATCACTTTTCAAAAAAACAAAGCCAGTGTTGGAGACAGAGGTGCTGGACAACGAGGAGGGCGGCCTGGCTACCATCTTTGAACCCTGAATCAAGCTTTTGGGCATCCTTCCTTGGCCTTTATTGTCATCTCTTCGTCTCCTTCGTAGCTAGTCTCTAGGCCCCTCTCCACTGCCACCTCACCACCATCGTCAGCCTGGAGAGATCCAGGTCTGGAGCTGGAGAGTGGGCCCTGTGCAGGGCTAGAAGTAATTATACTAAAGTCCAAAAAGGGAGTTGGGGCTTTCACCATGCTGTCTAGACCTCCCAGGTATCTCCCATTCTACTTGGAGTTTTGGCTTTTCCAAGAGAGAAAAGCTAGAGCAGAGCAGCCCTTCTCCCCAAGCCCTCCCGCCTCATGCAGCGACACACCCGTGCAGAGCAGTAACTAGGGGTGCTATACCCAACACTGCAACTAGCCGACCTTGTGGCAAGGGCTTAGCCCTGAACGACTTGTGCCGAGAGTTTCTCCTGGACCACTGCAAGTCCCACTTAGTCCCCACACTGCTGGGCTGGCAGGGAGCCTTCCCCATCCCCCAGTGGGATGTCTGGGTCAGGTGCTGAGTACTGAATTGAATTGGGCCAGTTCCCCGTTTTGAGCAAGAATCCGGTCAGCTGGTGGGATCCATGGTACAGGCTACTGCTAAGCTCTGGATGCGGTATCAGGTGTAGTACCTTCAGGGACCAGGGCTCCGTCAGCATCTGTAGTGCTAACATCCCCCTTAGAGCTCACACATGCCCTTCCATGAATGACCTCAATGTGGTTTCCCCAGCCCCAGGGTCCACTCAGGCACAAGAGCCACAGTACCCTATTTAGTGTCATGTGATGCCATTGGCATCTAAGGATAATCCAGACCAACTAGGCTACATCTGTGACAAGCAGCTAGCAAAGCCACTGGTCTCTTGTAGGACTAGCTGAGTCCAGGTGCCTTCAAAAATCTCATGGCCTTTCAGGTCCCTGATCACTTCTCTCATGGGCCATTTCCAAAAGAAAATATGCCTTCCTAATATGGGTCTCCAGTCCTGAAGATCACTGGATGGTCCTACAAGCATAGAATGCATGTATGCAGACCCTAGCCTTGAGGTCATTGCTGGCCATAGACAAGTTTAATCCATAGGGAAACTATAGTGTGTACAGGTGTTCTGCACAAAGGCAGGCCTGTCATCAATCCACCGATGAGGGTTTCAGTGAGGACTGAGTGGAGTAGTGTGGGCTGAAGCTGGCCCCCAGGCAGGAGAGGCTCTGGAAGAGGTGAACCTGGGGAAACAGGACTTGGGGTCTGGTATAGTTCTATGGCACAGACGTGCCCCACACCCTCTTCCTGGGGTGGTGCTCTGAGCTTGTCAGCTGTGCAGGCCTCTCAAAGCATTGTTCCCTCCAAACTGTTAGCTGTCTACTCCTCTGTAGTTGGGGCCGTGGAGGGCGTAGTTGTATTTATTGTGTTGTACTATTTTTAACATCTTGTGACTTCATGCTAGAAGTTTTCTATTGTTTATAGAACTTTTTTGTAGAAACATAACTCTAAAGCACATCTGCATGTCAGTAAAAATCTCAATTTCATACAGAAAGAGCCCCATCTCTTTTTCAAACTACTGGCATACTTCAGGGTCACTGTTCCCCTCATGAGTGGACAGAAAGAACTGACTGATGGACCTGCTCTGTCAAGCTTTCTGAAATAGTATGCCAGCTAGAAAAAGATTTCTATCGCTGACACACAGATGAGGCAGCCCATACCATTCTCAGTGCTGTCATTGGTGGCCACTGGACATGACCCTGAGGGACAGTCCAAAGGGAATTGCTGTTCTTCCTCGTGGTTCTTGATAGCAGTGTAATTTGACTGCAAGGGACCACCCTTTTTTCTATCAGCCATTTCGTCCAGTATCCAAAAGATAGGTTAAGTGGCATACAGTTTCTTTGTAGGTCTGACTGCTCCCAGAAAACACCTCAACTTGGCGTTTCTCATGAGGCTTCAGAGGGCCTTGGCCCTGACCTGCCATGACATCTGAGCCCAGTGTGCTAACTGCTAATGCCAAACTTGTTCTGACACGAGGCCCCAGATTTGTGGATCAAAACTAAAGAAGTGGTCTCAGACAAAACACTTTTTGTTTGGATGTGAATTTATTTACATGAAGGCCTTATAAAGGCATAAAAGGCACATTTTGCAACACATTTAACCAAATGTATTAATTGAAGTAAAACTGGAATTGTCCCAGAAAACTCAGGACACCTAGTCACACTGGGCTGTCTACAGCAGTCCTGTGGCGGCAGGTCAGAACCCAAAATCTTCAGCTTGCCTCGGGAGCATCGAGCCCAGCCATGCCAGTAAGTCTGCAAGCCTCAGTCCATCTGAACTGCATCTAGTTCATCCAAGAACCTCCGGCACTTCCCCATCAGTACCTTGATGGCTTCACTCACCAGCACATCTGGTGGCAGCACCCCCGTTGACTCGACAGAGACTGGGAACCAAAGAGACATTTTAGCCCAGGCAGGGCTTGCAAAAGCTCCTGTAAAAGTTACTGCTAGATTTTACATCCGGACTCTGCAAGGAAGCTATAGCACCGAAGAGCTGCCCCCATCACCTCCTGCAAACTGGATACTCACAGATATAATGGTCCCGAACCCGAGCAAGCCGTACAACCTTCTTTAGCTTCTCATTGCGGAAGACTTCCCTGCTGAAGGTATCTAGCCGGGGATTGGCAACTCTAGCCACCTTTTTACCTAATGAAAACGAACCATGTTATAAACAAGCCCAGAGCTTTCATTCTCTCTGCTACCTTCAAAGAAAATATACCTTAGGCCCTGACCTGAACAGCATCCCAAATACAATACCTTGGACTTCATGCACCTCAATAACACCAGGTGAGAAGCACCGGCTCAGCTCCTCAGCTGCCTCCCCTTCCACAGGCTCCAACAGTGTGATGTCTGGTAGAAGCCTATAGCTGGCCGTTGCCACAGGTGAAAATTTGGCATGATCTTTGCCTAGAGGGAAATCAGAGCCTGTGGGAAAACCCTTCTTGACATTCCCAAACTTTGGCCATTGGTTTTCTGCCTATCGGTGACAGCTGAGTCCCTTAGTGACACCTCACCCCACTGCATTTGAAGTACCTTCCTCCCCAGCCAGGGCAGCCCACAGGGTTCTCACCAATGCCCTTGACACAGTGCATGAGTAGGTCAATCTCCTGGCCAGGCCGCAGCTGAGCAATGAGGATATCATCATGCACTGGTCGGATGGTGCCCTCCGGGAAGAGGTCCGCCTGGTTCCCCAGGGGAACCCATGTCATGTGCCTGGTGTACACTGGAGGAAGAAGCACATCAAGAGATATCAGTCCCCAAAAGTAGCACCCACCAAAAGGTCGGCCCTCTTTCTCACCTTCCCAACACTCACCTTTGTGGTTAACATAGAGTTCATTGGGATCAGAGGAATCTTTAGCAGCATGGGGGTTCCGAGTGCACCTGACTTGCAGCCGGAACTGCAGTGTGTCTATTTCGGTGCCTTCTTCATCTCCTGCACAAAGAGGTGGCAGCTCTTAAAGGACTAGTGCACATTTGAGTGCCAGGCACAATACTGAGTGCATTAAGTTTCTCATTTAATCCTCTTAACAAATTTAGTAAGGTAAGGGCAAGTGTTCTCACAGATAAGAACAATGACATACCAAAAGATTGGTAAACTGCCCAAGGTCATACAATATAGTCAATCCAGGATTTGAACATAGGCACTCAGATTCCAAAATCCACTCTACAGAAAAGAGCTGCTCCCTTTTACCCAAAATTTCATTTTCTCAAACCCTCACCTTGGTTCCGATATTCAAAAAGACGGGGATCAGCATGAATGGGAATGAGCCCCAAGCGATGAGCGAGGATCTCATCCTGGACAATGGATGTGTTGTTGTACACTAGGACCTTTTCCACAGCCATGGTTGGCACCTGCCCAACAAAAACAATCACTCATCTACCAACACCCTATAAACTCTCCATCTACTCCCTGCCTGCTGACAGAGATAGGGAGAGACCTCTTCCTAGAAGAATGCTTGATGAAAAAGTTATGAGCAGAAGAAATGCTTAGCAAATTTTCAGGAAAAATAAACCTCGAGAATTCTACAAGTGAGGTTTCCCGACATAGTTAACCCCTGCCACCATGCCCACCAATACCTCAGCTAACAGAATACGTCGAAAAGCGTTGGCAATGGCTGCGTCAATTCCCACCATGTCAAACTCCAATGTATTTTCATCCATGTGTACCACATCCACGCGGAAATTCTAAAGACAGGAAAAACACTAAATGAAGCTCGATGTTGGTATAGTCGATACCTCCCCTGGATATTCCCCTTAAGGTATTAACATTCTCATCCAAAACCTCCCTTTGCCCAAGATGTCCCTCTTTAGATGTTCCTTTCTCCCCCAATCCTTTATTAGTTTGTGTGTGGGTTTTTGCAATTTTTTATTTGGCCATTAAATTTCTTTAATAGTAAACTTTTTGCATATTCTTTTGATTCTATGATACATGATCTGTATATTGCACTGTGTGCCTACCACCCACTGTCCTCATCTTCATCACCATATATTTGGTCCCCTTTACCCTTTACTTCCCCTCCACTCCCCTTCCCTCTGGTAACTACCACACTGTTGTGTCTATCAGTTTGTTTTTCTTGTTTGTTCGTTTGTTGCTTTCAGTTTTATATCCCACAAGTCAAATCATGTGGTTCTTTTTCTGACTTATTTTGCTTAGCATAGTCTCAAGGCCCATCCTTGTCACAAATGGCAGTATTTCATCTTTTCTTATAGCTGAGTAGTGCTCTATTGTATATAGGCACCACATCTTCATCCAGTCCTCTATCGAAGGACATTTCGGTTGTTTCCATGTCTCTGCATTATGGCTTCCACCCAGACCATCCACAGAAGCTACTCTACTAGAGAACATACTTCCACACTGCTTATTCCAGTTGACACTGCCCAATCCGAATCCTGTTAGACTTTTTCTGTTGTATTTGACATTGTTGATAGGATCCCTTGATTTCTGAGCACCAGTCTTTTGGTTTTCTTCCTTCTCTGATTAATCCTTCTAAATTCACTATCTTCCACCTACTCCATAAACATTACTATTCCCAAGTTTTCCCTCCAGAGTGACAACCACACTAATAGTTTTAGCAACTATTTACTGACAACTCCCAAAATCATCTCACTTCTGATCTCAATTAAAAAATATATTCTACTAGCCTCACAGTCTTCTCCACAGGCAGGAAACTGAATGCATCATCAGTCCCCAAACCCATTTCTCATCAATAAATGATGCCCCCATGCATCACAGGAGTTCCCCAAGCTAGGTCATTTTACACTCCCCCCTCACAACTCACATCAAAGCAATCACCAAACTTACCTTCTACCTCCTCTTTGCTCAATCACCTACAGTCCCTAAGACACACTTCAATCTTGCCTACCACTCATGCGGATCCAAATTATACTCTAGCAATAGTGAAATGCTTAGACATTCCCACAGCACAGCTCACACAAGCCTTTATAATTTAGCTTCTGTTCTCAGCTTCTGCTCATCGTTCTAGGCTCAATTCGGATGTCACCTCTTTCGGGAAATCTACCATACCTCTGCCCTCCTTTCCAGTCTAGATTAAGTGCCTCTGAGGGATGGGAAAACCACCACCCCAGCCCCGGACCCCATCCCCCGTCGTCCTTACAGCTATCAACCGCCTTTAGCACATTATACTGAAATGTTTACAAGCTCTCTTCAACAAGACTGAACATATTGTTCGCAGAACAGGGTGGAAACCGTGTGTACACGGAGCGCCTAGCACTTTGCTCATTAAACGTTATATGAATGGAGCGAACCCCAAGGACAGCTTCTGAGGCGCAGACTGCTCAAATCACATGGTCCGATCCTCATACCCTCTCCAGACACCTCTAGTTCCACCAACCTTCTCGAAACGGTCCTGGTCCCAGGCATCATCATAGCCCGAATAGTTACCGGGGAAGTCGGTGGTATGAACCTAAAGCAAAGAGAGACGAGTCTGTTCGTGAAGCGGTAGCGAGGCAAAGCCCTTCCCCACTCCGACACCAGCTCATCCCTGTTCCTCTCTCATTTCTACTTCCGACCTCAAGGCCACAAAGCTTACATTGCGAACCCCGAACTCCCCTAGAACCACGCGGCTCCGCATTTCTTCCACCGCCTGGGCCGCCGCCATCTTCAACCCCTCCACGTGATTAAGGTAGCAACTGGCGCGTGCGTTCTAGTCGCCCTCCTCCGTCTCCGGGGCAACGCGTCACCGCCTGAAAGGTCAAATATCGCGAGACTCTATCCTGTTGACGTCCACGTCCCCAGCTTCCGGAAGTCAGTTTGAGCCAAACATCCGGGTTTCTCTTTTTCTGCGTTCCGGCTGATCCCACCTTTCTGTCGCCCCTGTATCTTTTCTTCTCCCAGGCCCACGGCTCTCCCACTCGCCCTCCACGCTCTAGAGTAGCGCGGGCTTCAACGACGGGAGCCCTCGAGGGACATGGCAACTTCGGCGGCGCCGACCGGCGGCTCCCGAAATGGGGCTGGCCCGGAATGGGGAGGGTTCGAAGAAAACATCCAGGTAATGGCCTCAAGGCTTCGGCTGCCAGCAGTCCCAGAAGTGACGTGGGGACTCTACCCCGGTGCCTAGAAGTCTGCTCCATCTGCAGCACTTTTCCTCTCCTTGGGGTAATCGTGCACACGAAAGTCAGTGGGACCAGTGCTGACCTGAAAGGGCTGGACTTGTACTCCAGCCAGAGGGCCTCGGGTCTCTGGCCCCACCCGCTTTCTGTCGGGACTAGTTAGGAGGTCGGTCGGGATCAGGCATGGCGGGGGCAGGGGGGTATTGCCCTGGCTAAAACTATACTGTATGCACAGCCTTGTTTTGGAGTTGGGAAAGACAACGAAAGTGGGCACTTTTGCAGCCCTTTGGAGCTTTGATAGGGAAGGCAGGAGAAAGACATGTGAGAGACCAGGAGTAGGTTTCCCAGGCTAGAAAAGACAGACAAACCACCAACGTTCTGAAAACAAAGCAAATGAGGGAAAGAGAGTGGCATGATCTATGGTGATTCCAAGCCATATCCCAGCAGTGGAAGAGCAAAGCCCCAAGCCCTGGGATGAACAGAGACTTAATGGATGGAGCAGAAAGGTCCTGCACACTTGGAATTTATTATCTTCATAGGGTGGAGGCTCAGCTGTGATTGACATGGAGAACATGGATGATACTTCAGGCTCCAGCTTTGAGGATATGGGTGAGCTGCATCAGCGCCTTCGCGAGGAAGAAGTAGATGCTGATGCAGCTGCTGCTGAAGAAGAGGATGGGGAATTCCTGGGCATGAAGGGCTTTAAGGGACAGCTGGGCCGGCAGGTGGCTGACCAGGTAAGCAAGACTGGATCCCTGGCAGGTGGAAAAGTATACCTAGGAGGCCCCAGGTTCCGGAGTTGATGTTGGTGAAGGTCCATCCCTGATTCTCCAGTTAGAACCATGTAGAAATCCAACAGAATTAGCAAGAGGGCTCAGAACCAACAGTCTCACAATACCCACTTGTCCCATCCTTGTCTTCCTTACTTCAGATGTGGCAGGCTGGGAAGAGACAGGCCTCTAAGGCCTTCAGCTTGTATGCCAACATCGACATCCTGAGACCCTACTTTGATGTGGAGCCAGCCCAGGTGCGAAGCAGGTGAGGATCCTACTGACAGAAGCTGCCCTCCTCACATATAAACTACGGCCAGAGACCAAGCCCTTAGACTCCCCTCTTCTTGACACCACCAGCCGTCATCATTATATCTGTACTCCAGCCTCACCATTCCTCTACCAGTCCCGGAATAGGACATGGTGATACTACACCACCTTCCTCTTCTTTTCCGTCTAGTATACTGCTCATCTTCCCTCAAAACCTAGCTCAGATGTTGCTTCCTTTGTTTTGTGTTCCTCAGCCCCACCCCCAGTGTGCCCTTCCTGGTGCTCCAGTAGAGCTCTGTGCTTTTCTCTAACAGAGAACACTCCAGCATCGCTGTACTTTCTTATGCTTGAGTCTATCTCTCCAGAGACCACCTCAAAAGCAGGCTCTGTTTTGTTTTTATTCCCAGCACCAGAACAGTCTCTGAACCAGAATATCAGTATGTAGATGCTGAGTGACTTTTCAAGAAGTGGAATTACTCTTGGTTTAGTTCTTTGTTGATCCTTTAATTTAACCAATACTTGCCAAATACCCGTACACTCAGCAAGTACTTATTAAGCTTTTGCTCTGCACAGTCTACTAGTTGTGTCTGAGTTAGTGGTGAAAGAGATGGGAGCCTTGCCCTCGAGTGCCGTTATAGTACAGCACTCAATTTGCTAAGAAGGGACACATGGGGAACATCTGACCCAGAGTAGGCTGGAGGGTGGGACAGGGTGAGTTTCCCAGAGGGAGTAAAATCTAGTCAAATTCCAAGGTATTATTAGGAGCTAGCCACTTAAGAGAATAGGGACTTGTATTCCTTCTGCCTGGAATTTTCATACCACTTCAGATATATTTCAAGAAAATGCTCAGCAGTGCCTGGAGGAGTGATAAGCAGAAAGAGGCAGGATGCACACTGGTTCCCTCAAGTACCTCCTTTCCTTCTAAACCTTTCCCAGGGTTTCACCATCACAGTTCGGAATTGTGGGCATTCTCTGCTGAGGGGGCAGGTCAAATCGGTAAATTGTCAAGCCCTCTTCCAAGGCCCAGCTGGGCTCCCTGAATTCTCCATGTTGCTGCTGCATCAGTCAGCACAGCATCAGAGCGTTGTCCTTCCTGGAAGCATTTCTAGGGGCAACGAAGTGATTTCCTCATTCCCTGTCTGTCTTTACTACCCTCTTCTCCCTTTACCATCTAGCATGTTCTCTGGAGTTAGAGAGATGATAAGATTCAGGCCCTCCAGAACCTCGTAAGTGCTGCCTCTGCTCTCATGTCTCCTCTCCTCTCCCAGGCTCCTGGAGTCCATGATCCCTATCAAGATGGTCAGCTTCCCCCAGGTGAATAGAGGGGAGCATGACTGGAAGAGCCAGGGGAGGCCGTAGGGCAAAGGGTGGGTCACCAGGCAAAGTCTGGGAAGGAATAAACAAGAGCCACTGTACCCTCCGGACTGAGTGAGTTGGTATATTGACAGAAAATCGCTGGTGAGCTCTATGGACCTCTCATGCTGGTCTTCACGCTGGTTGCCATCCTCCTCCATGGGATGAAGACATCTGACACCATTATCGTAAGCAGGACAGAGGACTTTGGGGGGTGGCTGAACTGAGTTGAAAGCTGCCCAAGGAGGAGACGGTGGAGTGAGTTAGAAGCAGCCCTGAGGACTGCCCTGGGTGAGGCTGAGACCAGAGGCCTCCCAGGACTAAGTAAAGCCTTCACCCCACAGCGGGAGGGCACCCTGATGGGCACAGCCATTGGCACCTGCTTTGGCTACTGGCTGGGCGTCTCATCCTTCATTTACTTCCTCGCCTACCTGTGCAACGCCCAGATCACCATGCTTCAGATGCTGGCACTGTTGGTAAGGAGTCCAGCATGGTGGATGGTGGTGGGCAAGGGTGACCTTACAACAGCCAGGGCTTGGTCTGCATGTGTCCTGGGGCCCCAGGGCCTGGAATGGGGTAAGCTGGCTGGTGGACCGTTTAATTTCTCAGGGTCCCTGTGAGATTTCAGCCAGCCCAGCCTGAGAGGTTTTCCTCTCCATCCTCCTTCCTAGGGCTATGGCCTCTTTGGGCACTGCATTGTCCTTCTCGTCACCTACAACATCCACCTCCATGCCCTCTTCTACTTCTTTTGGCTGCTGGTCGGGGGGCTGTCCACCCTGCGCATGGTAAGCTGGGCAGGAGCTTTTCAGGGGTGGGCTGTCCTGGGGAGCTGGGGAAAGCAGCCCAGAGCTTGGGCCGAACCTCACAAAAGGCTGAGTTGGGGGGAAGAGCCCGAAGATGTTTCTGCTCTGGGGAGGAGTGTCTTCTCCACACTGCTCACTTTGGAGCCACACCCTCTGAGCTGTATTCCTGTGGTCCTAGGTGGCAGTGTTGGTGTCACGGACTGTGGGCCCCACACAGCGGCTGCTCCTCTGTGGCACCCTAGCTGCCCTGCACATGCTCTTCCTACTCTATTTGCATTTTGCCTACCACAAAGTGGTGGAGGGTAAGTGACAGGAGGCCTGGGTGCGGGGGAAGGGAAGGACAGCTGCCTAGGACAAGGTCCAGCTGACTAACTTGCTCACCTTCCATCCCTTTCCTTCCAGGGATCCTAGACACATTGGAGGGCCCCAACATCCCACCCATGCAGAGGGTCCCCAGAGACATCCCCGCTGCACTCCCTGCTGCTAGGCTTCCAGCCACCATGCTCAACACTACAGTTAAGGCTGTCGAGGTGGCCCTGCAGTCACACTGACCCTACCTGAAATCCTTGGCCAGCCCCCTTGAACCGTGCTGGAGAGTGGAGGAAGATTAAAGGACAGAACTGAATACATGTGTCTCTGATGCGGTCTGCAGCTGCCAGAAAGCTGTAGCTGCTTAAGCACCTCCTTCGACTCCTGTGGGGGCTTCTGAAGAGCACAAGGCCAGGAACCCCTGGCCAGGACTGCAGGGCTCTGCAGCCAGTGCAGAAAGTGGGTCAGCGCCTCTGAGGCCCTCCAGCCACCTGTTCTTTCCTTCCTCTTTATTTCTTCCACATTGTCTTGTTAAGTATAGACTTGGTAATTAAAATATTGATTGAAGTCTGGAACTGCAGCTACCCTTCCAGTGGTCCTCCCTACTTCCTGTATACTTTCCTGTTCTGTCAGTGGTGCTAATGTCATATGTTCCCTTATTTATATCCTCAGGATGTAAGGTGGGACAGGCAGGATGAAGGTAGGACAGTCCAGACTACATTGAAGGCAGTGACTGAATATGGAACCTGTCCCTGAATGCAGAGGACACTTGACCCATGGAGCAGCAAGGAGGCCTGACACCCAAGAACCACAAGTCTGGTGGAGCAGTGCACCCAGCTTGAGTCTGGGCACAGCTGCACTCTTAGGACACCAATGGGGCAATGACAATTGGACAAAAACTTCCAGACTCGACCCCATGTCATTATAAGACCCTTATATACCTGGGCCATTGTGTAGGGATAATTTCCCATGACAGCTCACATTTGAAGCCAACCTTGGCTTTGCCCAGGTTATGCTGGGGC